AGCTGGGAGGCACTGACTTGAGATTTGACACAAATTAAAGTTCCTTTACTTGCCATTGCATCATCTTACCGATGTGGTACAGCCCGATCCAGTCTGTAGCATCCACTTCCTCCTTTATGTCCCAGGATATGACGAGGTTCTGGCCACGGTTCAGCGTGTACTCCAGAGTGGACGCCGTCAACGAGGACCGGCTCTGGGATGTCACCAGGTCAGTGTCGCTGTTTGCCCGCGGAAGCCCGATGGGGCTGCTCACCACGGACACGGTATCTACAGCCGCCCCGCCCCTCTCCGCCAGAGTCCGCAGGTTCTCCGGGCTGAGGGTGTGCCGGAGATGCGGGCTGCGCCTTCGTGGGGCCGACAGGTGTTCGCGGCCCCCAACGGACAGGTTGGGTGGATTGTGGGAACGGGTCCTGGGCGGCAGGACCGCTGTGGCGAGGGAAGGACGCATGTTGGCAACAAGTGAAAGCAGTTAATTAGTAGAGCCGAGAAGTAGAGGCAGAGATGAGCTTCTTATTGAGCCGGACGGTCACCAAAGCGATGACACGTTTCTGATTTATCTGCCTCTTGTCTAGAAGTGATGTGTGGGTTCCTGATCCACAAAGCTGTCCAGTTTCATCCGTTTTCGTCCCTTAATGAAGCCAAACAGTCAACTCATTAGTTCATGTTATCCAGTGGCATTAAGAACCTGAGGATGGAGAAAGAAAAGAAAGACAGACAAAACTCAGTGAGCTACAAAATTGCTCCGGCACAACAAAAGCAGTGATTGCACGGCGCGAACTGCAATCAACAAATGGCTGAACAAACATCCGTCACCGGAGCGGCTGTTTGCTGTCAAAGAAGCCGTCACAGACACAAGTAACCCGGCACCGCCACGTGGTCCATCCTTCCTCTTCCAACATCACCATTCCAACACTTTTACTTTTAGAGCTCATTTTGTTTTCTTTCATTAATTGAATGCACTATTTACTTCTTTGAATGATGAACGATGTGTACCGTGTGTTCGCTCTCTCTGCTAGAAACACTCAGCCCACATGAGGAGAAGATCAGGCTGAAATGATCTCATTTGGAATGCATTATCTCTACGAGACCGCTGGAAAAGAAACACACACACACACTCGTGTCTGCAACAAGGTTTCAGTCAGTGTAGGCTGCCTCAGTAAAAGAAAGGAGAGAGGCGACAAGCAGCTGTATCTGCCTCCCAGGAAGCTCTTCAATCAGCAGATGCCAGTTTGGGAAGTGTCTTGGGAGTGCTGTCAGAGTCTCAACCACAGCCATTTTGTTTTTAAAGAAAGGATGCCATGTGACTTCAGAGTCTAGCCAGGGGGAGGCTGGTTTCAGTTAGACTGAGGAGCATTAGCGGTAAATGTGTGTGTGTTTCTTTTCTTAAGGGTAGAAAAGGTTTGGTAATATTTAGCTAACGCATGCCTGGTGCAGTCACTGGAAAATAATGTGGGCTGCAGTCTCAGCTAAGCCTGATATCTGTGGTATTTGAAGTATGCCTCGATAAGCGAGCCGCTGGTAACGTTTTAAAACTGTCAGCTCGTCTGCAGACCTCAAAGTGGGTTGTCAGACTAATGGTATTCAAAAAAAACAAAACAAGAATCACTAGATGGTCTGAGCTTCATTTTATCTTATGATAAGTCACTGCAGCCTGTTAGGGTTACAGGTAGGACGTCTCTTATTTGGGACACTCAAACAAAAACTATGTCTATGAGATTTAATTTGAAAGGTAACACCTTTTGGCTTAAAATCAAAACCTAACACCAGCTGCAGAAAGGATGCGGGTGACCTGGTGGAGGTCAAAGAAATGAAACCGAGTCTCCAGAAGTAACTTAATCTGCCAACCAGGTCTAAAACTCACTGCTTGCTCTTTAATCTGGACCAAAAAAATTAAAATGACTGTAAAGAACTATGGAGAAAAATAAATAAATAAATGACTTAGTAAATAATTATGCCATTAAATGCACCCCAAAATTTAAATAAATGTAGGCTACTATTCTATAGTTTGTAAAAAAAAATAGATAGATAGATACATTGACATTTCAGTTCTTTACCTTTGCAGTCTTAACTTCCACCCAAATGTACATGCATATTATTGGATAATCACCACGCTTTTATTCTGAAAGTTTGGCTAATGCCTAATAATAACTAGCTTGAAACGGTCCTATCTAACATTTTCCCTACTGGTTAGTTCGCTGACCAAGCTGCCCTTATGGTGGTCCATGCAGCTGCTTGCACGGCTCCATCGTCTTCACTCTAACCTGAACCTCACCTAAGCTACCTGCTGGAGTCCAGCACACTGAAGCTGGAACTCATCTGAGTTACGTATATGTCACAAAGTTCATGGCATAAATTAAAGTACAAACAGCACTATCTAATTCTATGTTGCACTTATTTCACAGTGCACATGGATGCGTTCACATGTATGAGTAACACCCCTCACCTGAAACACAAATCATATCTGTGGTAAAAACTAGAGGTGGGCGGATCGATCCAAATATCTGCTCTCCCCTATATAAAGCTCCTGATATAGGCTAAAAGTTTTGGTATCATGTTTTCTGGTTTTCCATTTGGCACTGTGAAATCAGCTTTGCTCCATGTCACTATGTCAGTGATTTAAAATGACTTTTAATAAAACAGTTTATCTTTAAGCACTGGGACAATCATTTTGTTTTAGTGTATCGAGAATCACGTAATTCTACTTGTATTTGGGTATTGTGACATTCCTAAATATTATGTAATTGTTTGTTACACTGTTTAGTTAACTATGAAGTCCACAGTAATAGTAAAGTTATTTTATTTTTGTATTTATTGATATATTTTAGTTTATAAGTTTATTTGTAATCTTGGCAGTTTTGGTCCTCCATATAGGAGCACAGAAAAAGGGTGTTTAGTTTTTTTGCCATCCCAATTATGTTGAAATATTCCTCAAATATTGATTTTAGTGTGTTTTTTCCAGCCATACGCTCTCTCCTTTCCTTCGTCTACTTCCATCTTTCTTTGTTGACTAAAAGAATCAAATTGAAAGTGACAATGAGTCAGTTTATACCCACTTCACAGTGGGTATAAACCTCACACAGCTGCTATTATAAATGCTTCCTCTTATCAGTAATACCATCTTCCTTTCTGTCTTTCACTACATTCTCATTAGTGTTTCATTTCCACTCAAAGACCATGAGGTAAGCTGAAACTCTTGACCATGCAAAGCAGGGAATCAATCTGAAGGTGATTCATGCGTGTCTCTGAAATATCCCGGGCTTGATGCTGAAATAAGATCTGTTGCATTTGTCATGAGGAAAGCCTGGACGTCCCTGACTCAACGAGATTACCGAGCCCAGACCCCGTACAGGGATTTATGGCAGAATAAAACCTTCATCACAGATGCAGGAATACGTAAATCCAGCTCACGTGCTCACATGGCCAAAGTCATATAGCACCAGCAGGGGAGAGAGGTAACATTCATAAGCAAGCAGAGGCATCTTCAGTTAAAAAATAAATAGATGTGAAGCTGCTTGGTGGTTATGTAAGCGCTCCTGTGGTCCAATCGACCCCCTCCTGCAGTTCTTGCCAGGCATTGTCTAACCCCAATGTGTAGCGGGAGACGCCGTGGCTGCTCACTAAAATAGAGAGGATGAGGAGTGCATGCAGCAGCTCCAAACAGCACAGAACAAACCATGACCTCAGGAGACAGCATTAAGTAATCTGGACTCATTCCAGTGCTTTTTTTCTTTGAAAAGACTCCTGCTTCCCATTAATCCCGAAGCCCAGCCCTGCACAGTTTGACTTGGATTAGCGATTGATTCTCAGGAAGGTGAATATAGATAAAGCCTTGCATGAGAACTCCAAAATCAAACATCTTTTCTCAGGGATGATAAATGTCTCAAATACCGTCATTTGAGCGCTGCTCTGTTATTAGGCACTGAATACTTTGTACAGTGCACCGCTGTGCGCTGAATACTAACAGCAGACACATCTGCAGCAGAGGAGGTGATGGAGTGTGCCAGACACTGCTGGATAGTTGTTTTCTCGCATCCTGTCAAAAACAGTTTCTTCAGAGAACGCTCCCAAAACCAGATGGCAGGTTTAGGTATTCAGGTATTCGTGGCAGGTCGTTTTTTTTTCAGTGTTGTTTGTGAAGCTGGAAAACTCCAGCGTCCCAAGTGACAGGCATGACTGACAGGCACCATGGAAGCATTATGGCTGTACATCTCCCTCTGCACAGCTCACAGTTCTCTCAACACAAGGCACATGCACCGCTCTACTGCACGCACACCACGAGTTTTCCCCTGGTTAAACAATTAATTAATTTGATCGAGTTTAGTTTAGTTAGATCTGGATTTACTTTTCTTCATCTCCAAAGCCTCATGTATCTTATTGTCACAACCCCAGTTCAAAAATATACCAGTGAGTCAGATCATTACACTTTCTTTGCCTTTCTTTCGTTTAATACTAAAAAGCATGCTTCTGCTGTCAAGACATACCTCCTCACTAACAGTTAAAAGCCTATAAAACTGAGCTTAATGGCAGTTTCCAACATGAATCGAGACTCTGACACCTTAAAAACAAAATCCACAAATGTCAATGTATTTTTTTTAAATAAAAGCCTTTTTTTAATGTCAGGCTGAACATTTTAGTCACTGCCATCTTGCTTTTTAAAAACAAGTGATATGCACCTGCCAATCATAAGTTAGGTCCAACCTTAAAGTATACCCTCAAATATTGTCTGTTTTACTTTAAATGGCATCATATTTTACTGAAAAAACATCATGTTGTTTTAAATAAGACTTAAAACTGGTGACTGAGACCATAAACTCATTAGCAAGACATTTATAGAGCTTAATAAAGAAAGTGAGAAGGAGGCTCATTTTCTCATAGACTCCCATACAATCTGCCTGCTTTCTGTAACCAGAGGAGTCGCCCCCTGCTGGCCATTAGAAATAATGCAGTTATAAGGGACTGGAAAAAAAAGTGGGCACATCTTTTTTCTTCTCCTTTTCCAGAATTCTGAGAAAAAAGTCAGAATTCTGAGATTAAAGTCAGAATTCTGAGATTCTGTACATACCTGCTATAAAACATGCTCTCATATAATTAAACTACATTCTCACAGGCATTCAGAAGCAAACCTCCAGAATAGATTAGCCAGTCATAAAAAATATGGGGTTCTACTCGTCAAGTCCGTGACATATTAAATTGTACAAAACCTTCTTACACAGTTAAAGTTGTAAAAGAGTCTATTGTAACCCCACTTTTGATCTTTTTCTGAGTTTAAAAAGGAGCTTTGGTTTCTAAATAAACCAAACAGCAAGTAAAAGAACAACTTAAATTCAAAAAGTGACACTACAGTAAGGGGAAAAGCTGGGGTTGAGCTCTATCTCTACCAAGATTTGCTGTTGCTTTAAACTCTGTTGTTTCACATTATCTCACGTAAGTTACACTGTCCTGCTGCAAATACCCTGCAACAAATGTGTATTAATCCTCCGCTGCAAATACTCCTAAGCAAACGCACCTCTACTCAGTGGGATTAACATTTTCTGAAATCGACAGTGACCATCTGTTACTGAGCAAATTACTAAACTTTTACTTGGCAGTAAGAAAAACACAGATGGATTTAAGGCCAATTCGTGGTCCCACATCTGCATTAACCTCTGGGCCTGAAGAATAAAGCTGCCTTTGAAGTGCAGTTCC